TTTAGCATTCACATGGTCCAATCAGCGCTGGTGGAAGGGATATTAGAGATACAGGAGTCTGAGAGAAATGCCTGCAGGGGGAACCACGTTCTCAGGTGTATTTTGCTAACAAAGTGTGTGAGGAAGGGAGAAGAAAAAGAAAGAAATTGGAATGTTTTTATTTTATTTTATTTTTTTAAAGATTTATTTTATTTGTTTATTTGAGAGAGAGAGAGAGAACACGTGCGTGGGGGGGGGCACAGGGAGAGGGAGAGAGAGGATCTCAAGCCGACTCTGAGCTGAGCGTGGAGCCCAACACAGGGCTCAATCTCATACCCCTGAGATCATGATCTGAGTCGAAACCAACAGTTGGACACTTAACTGACTGAGCCACCCAGGTACCCGAGAAATTGGAATGTTTTTAAAGAAAGCATAAACTGCTCAGTTTGGCCATAAGCCTCACCATTCCCTAGTGTCTTCCATAGACTCCATCAGAGATTTTGTCACCTGCTTGGGTCCTAAAGGCAGTAATTCTGTCACCTCCCCCAAACTTTTCCTTTTACAGACAAGGGAACAAGAATCTAAGAATAGTTTACTGACTTGCCTAAGGTGACACGGATGGTTATCAGTAAAGCTACAGTCAGATTTTAGTGGCCTGGCTCCTAGTTCCACATTCTCCGCTCTGACTCCACCATACTCTTATGCTCTAGATAGAGCCCAGAATACCAAAATGTTGAAAGAAAAAGAGGAACTAGCGTTCAAAATGCATATGGAAAATAATGATGTATTCTTGTCATAGTCTATGTTTGTTCCATCTTTCTTTATGCCGCCCCCAAAGGTGGTTAGGACCTAGGTGAACAGGCGAGTCACATACACAGTGTTGTTGATGCAACTGTACCTATTGCTAACACTGCAGCAATAAACTAGACATGATTCTGTTACTAAGAATGGGACACTGCTTTTCCAACAGGTTCTCTCCTTTCTATTATCATATTCCTACATTCAGGGCACAGAACTTAAAACAGCCTGGATTCCCTGTTACATTGGTTTTTCTGGCCCTTTCTTGGCTACATACTAGTTCATTTTATACCTTGTGGCTTTTGTACAATGATGTGTTGGATTTAAATGAGAGGAGCGGTATGTGCTACTCTCCCCAGTTCCCAATATAGTTCTCAACCATTTTGTGGGTCTTGAATGCCAGCTGCCTACATTCACTATAAAAGAACGAACACCTAGCCATCCTGCCAGGAGACCTCCCAAGTCTCTTCCACTTCTAGATTCAACTCCGTGATTCCCAGGGTACCTGTTTTCCCCACACTGGAATCTTTCAGATCATCTACTGTGAAGCAATAATATTATAGATCTGTGGGGCAATGAAGCCTTCTTATTTTTCTGTCAGAATGCTTACTCTGAAGGAGAGTCACTAAATCTCTCTAATTTCTTAGAATGAGGGCACAAACAATTCAAAACAAGAGATACCCTTAGAGGGGATAAAGAGTGAATACATCTGGAAAAGTGTAAGGAAGGAAAGGAAAAGAGGGGAGTGTGAAGTCTGCCAATGAGCTCCCTCTTTCCATGGCTGCTCTAGGATCATGAGTCAAGGAGAGACAAGAATTCCACTCAGGTTTTAAAAGAAAGAAAGCATGGGGGCCTGGATGGTGCAGTTGGTTAAGCCTCCACCTCTTGGTTTCAGCTCAGGTCATGATCTCAGGGTGGTGAGATCGAGCCCCTTGTTGGGCTCTGCACTCAGCACAGTCTGCTTGAGATTCTCTCTGCCCCTCTCCCTCTGCCCCTCCTCAACCTCTCAAATAAATAAATCTTGAAAAAATAAAAATAAAAGAAAGCACCTCTGACTCTGCCTTTCAAATCAGAACTTCAAATTCTTGGGACACCTGGATGGCTCTGTTGGTTAAGTGTCTGCTTCAGCTCAGGCCCTGATCCTGAGATCCTGGGATTAAGTCCCACATCAGGATCCTTGCTCCTTGGCGCTCCCCCTGCTTGTGCGCTCACTCTCTCTCTCTCTTTCACAAATAAATAAAAAGTAAAATAAAATAAAATAAATAAAAATAAGAAAAAAACCCTTCAAATTCTTAATATACTATAACAGTACTTAAAATTACATTTAAAGTAACGAGGAAAAGCTATAAAAATGAGGAATTAGCTTAGAAAACTGTGAAAGCATTTTGCATTTTTATGTGGCTCCTTCCTGGCTGAATATAAATGAAGGGATATTAATAATAATTACACATACAGTTATTTAGGAACCAGAGGAATAACATGTGAAGAAAGACCAAGAATACTTATTAGCCTTTGTTGAAACATGAACTAGGCAAAACATTTTGGGGAAGTAATGGAGGATAGACAAAACCAAACAAAGCAACAAAACCAAAACAAGATAAAACAAAAGAACTTCAAATTACGTTTTATCTGATTGTACAGTTACACAATTTTCAAGACATTAGGCACAAACACTTAAAATAATGAAGTTCCACATGTAAAATAATGCCACCATACTTTGTTTATTCAGAAACACAAATTTTGACTTCAAAAGGAATTACCCTATTCAAAAGGGCTAATGTATATGTGTGAAGCAAAGAACTTCTGATTGTGCTTTAACTCAGGATTAGCTGTTTCCTTCCATAAGCTGTTATATAAACTAAGTAAACATAAAAGTTAAAATGCTACTAAATAAATAATAAAATAAGTCCTGAAAACCCACGAAAAATGTCAGGTTCCATTTCCTGATTCATTGTTAAAGCCATCACTTAAAAAAAAAATTAACTTTTTTCTCTGCTTCATGTTTGCTTTTGATTATGTTTTTACTATCTTATATTGTTGTCACACTAAACTTAAAATTTATTTTAAAATGTATCTGTGAATGAAAACTCTCCACTCTATACATAAATTACTGAAAGCAGCAGTTGTTTGAAACTAACCACCTTACTGCATTAAAAAGCCCAATATTAAGCTCCCACTGCTTACATAAGGTTCAAAATAAGACAAAAGGAGGCGAAGTATTAGCAGAAACTTATAACGGAAAACAAAATTTTACCAGCCTCCAAAAATCACTCATTATCATTGTGCACAGTGCACGTCTTGCTTTCAAATGAAAAGTCAGAAGTAAAAAAAAAAAAAAAAAAAGTCAGAAGTGGTTATTTCTGTATCTAACAGCTCTTGAAACATCAGTAGGTTGATGAAAGTATTCATCAAGACCAATTATTTTACTCTTGCAGTTTGAGTATTGAGAATGTTGACAGTTTATAACACTGTTGACAGATGGAAACAATACACAGTAACGCTTACAAAATCTAGAGTCACTAGAAGATAAACTTTCTAATCTCCTCGAAAAATCTTCACCTTGCTGCAAGTACCAATTATAAACAGCAGCTAACATTTAAGGAGTGCTTCTTATGTGCCAAGCACTGATCTTTACCCTTATTCTCTATCATAGTAATCTGTAATTATTTTGTTTATTTTCTTTCTCCCCCCTAATCCAGAGGCTCCATGGTCACAGGGACTCTGTCTACTTCTTTATTGTATTCCCAGCACCTAGCACGCCTTACACATAGTAGGTGACATTTTTAAAGGACTCATTGTTCTAAACATTTATTTTTTTAAAAGATTTTATTTATTTATTAGAGAGAGAGAAAGCACAAGCAGGGGGAGTGGCAGGCAGAGGGAGAGAAAGAAGCAGGCTCCCCACTGAGCAGAGAGCCCCATGTGGGGCTCGATCCCAGGACCCCAGGATCGTGACCTGAGCCGAAGACTGACGCTTAACTGTCTGAGCCACCCCGGCGCCCCTGTTCTAAACACTTTAAATAATCTTTTAAAACTGTTGGTCATGGGTGCCTGGGTGGCTCAGGTCATGATCCCAGGGTACTGGGATCGAGTTCCATGTCGGGCTACTTGCTCAGCGGAGAGTCTGCTTCTCCCTCTCCCTCTGCCCCTACCCCTGCTCATGCTTGCACGCTCTCTCTCTCAAATAAATAAACAAAATCCTTAAAAAAAAAATAAAACTGTTGGTCATGATCTAGAGGGTTAAGAAAATGCAAAAGAATAGAGCATATTATTCAGTAGAATATTCTCCAATGAAACTTTTCTATGTCCCATATAAAATGTATTTACCAATGGGTAACAGTAAAAAAAAAAAAAAAAGGCTTAAAATCACTGCTTTACGTGGATTATTTCATTTGCTCCTCACAATAACCCTGTAGACAATACCACAACTTCCTCTTTAAAATAACAGTACTGAGGTTTCCAGATAGTATGTATGATGTCCAAGATGACAGAGCTATCTATAAGTACAAACATCACTTCTATAAAGTCTCACTGATAGGGAACCACACTAAAAAAATCTGAATTAACCAAATAAGGTTTCAGTAATAGTAATTGTGACATGGTTAGTGAAGAAGAAAATAGGCTTTTAAGGCAGTCAGTCCTAACTAAATTTAATACCTGGTTCTGCCACTAACCAGCTGTGTGGACTCAACCTCTTTGCAACTTTATTTCTCCATGTGTAAAAGAGGAATATTCATAACGTTGCTATAAGTTTTAAATGATTTGATGTATGTAAATAGGCTAGGCGACTAAATGGAAGCTTTTGTGATTAAAATAATTAGTATTTTCTTTTTCCTGGTCCGATAAATCTTCAGCCCATCACACCACTATCTGAATGTGTAAAAAGCGTGAATCAGGAACCTACTGGATTAAAGAGCAAATTATGGGAAGTGGGCAAGAGTGGACTAGAGCCACCCAAGAGTTTCTGCTGGCCGTGGGTGAGAAAGATGCCTAAGTCAAGCTCAGGGAGTTGGTTCAGGTAACTACGGGAATCAAGGGAAACAACTCTGCTTAACCGTAAATACAAACACAAACTATTTCATCTTGCTCAAGGATCACAGCACCATCCATCTTCCTCCTCTGTGTCCTGGCTGGGGCCGAACCAAGGAAACGCACCTGGTCAGCTCCCGCCCACTAGGCCCTGGTACACAGGGGCTAGGGCGCAGAGCTTCGGTGCAACTCACCCCGGAGACTCCGTTGATACTGCCCCAGAATCTCCTCCAGGGTAGAGTTCTCCGGGGACTTCGCCATGCACAGAGCCGGGGCCCAGAGATGGGAGTCACGTGGGGAAGTGTCCAGTGTCGCCCTTTGGGGAACAGGAGGCCTTGGCGCCGGAGAAGCGCCCGCCTGCTTCCAGCCGCTGCTGTCATTGGGGAGCATGGAACCCCGGACGGAGCTCGCATGGGGCCCTTCCCACCCAGGGGCCCTCATGCTGGACGTCGGGAGTTGTAGTCCGCAGGCTGCGGGCCTGCAGTCACGAAACTCCTAAAAGGCCCTTCCAACTATACTACAATTCCCAGAGGACATCGCGCTACAAGCTTTGGCGGTTTGGCGGCCAGATCCGGTTGCCAAGAGACTGCTTGGAGGCTCCGCCCTTTTTCTGTAGCCCAGGCTGGCTCAGTCCTGCCTTTATCCCATCCTGCTGTTTGGACCACCCAACCGACATAAAGAGCTCACTGAAGGCCTTGACTCTCCTAAGTTTGCTAGTTGAGTCTTCTCAAGGACACAAATAACAAGTTCTTCACCCTTCAGCCGCAACATTTGCCAAAACGACCAAATAAATTCTCAAGAAAAAGAAGCTCTAAATCTCCCAAACAGCCAAGGTTTTGAAGGCATCCGACACTACAAATCCTAGCATGCCCAGCAACCAGACCGCCACTTGGAGTTGGCGCACTGCCCTCTGGGAACTGTAGTCCTTTTTAGTTGCGGTCCCAGCTAACGCCAGAGTCCTCCTCATTGTTCAAGCCGGTCTTTGGAGCACGCCTGCGCAATAGGCAGCTGGAGAAGCCTTTGGGTGAGACCCTCGGCACAGCCCCTTTTCATTGTTTGCGTTTGGCGCCTGCGCAGTAAGAGATCGTTGGGACTGGGCCGGCGGAGCGGATAGGGCCGGGTTCCTCGCCCTTTCTTCAGGCGCCTGCGCACTGGGCGGCCGCTCTTTGCCGTTACCGCTATGTGCGGGGCGTGTGTGGAATAACGTTATTGCCCAGCGGAGCTCGGGGCCGGGAGCTCGACCGCAGCGGCAGCGACGACGACAACAGCGCCGACGAGGACGACGGGGTGGGGGGAGGACGGCGTGCGAGAGACTCACGGGACGCGACGCGCCCCGCCTCCCCCGTCCGGTCCCTCTCTCAGCGGTGAGGGGTAAGTGATGCGCTCAGCTGCTCGGGTAGGCGCTGTCTCTGCCCCCGCCGCTACTTCCCCACATCCTTCTGGGTTTGCAGCGGGGGCTCGGGGCGCGGCCGGGGGTGCTGGGCCGGGCGGCGAAGGGGGCGCTTCCCCGCTGCTCCGCGCGGCGCCGCCACCACCTCCCCCCACCCCCCGGCACCGGACCCGGGGCTTCGTCGGGGCCGCCCCTCCCCTCCCCCACCCTACCCCCAGCCCCACCCGCCGTCCCTCCGGGCGGGTGGCCGCCGCCTTTTCCCGAGAAGGTCTTGAATCATTTCAGCCCTCTCTCGGCTTTGTGCAGCCCTCCCCCCTGCGCCGTAGCAGCTTGTTAGGGGTGCGGGCGGAGCACTGGAGGGAATGGCTGCGTTGCCACTGGGGAAGGGATTTTTTCCCCCATCCGAGCAGCTAACAGTATGGGGCCTTTTTGTGAGGTTGGTTGGGGATGTGGGGCGGTTTGGAGGAGGTGAGGCCCTCTGGACGCGGTTGGAGGGCGTGGAAGACGTGGTGTCACGCACCCTGCCAGGCGACTGCACCCGCGCTCGCTCTGGCTCCGTAGTAAACCCGGGGGAGGAGACAGCGGCTTCCTGTCGGCTTCATTGTCCTAAGATTCAAATGTGGGGTTTTGGTATGCTTCCCTTCGTTTTATGCCTGACACAGGGCGGGAAGACGTGGGAATCGTGTCCTAAGTTATGGAATCTCTGGGGTTTTTTTGGGGGGGTGGTCGTGTTTAGTAGGGCTTTGGGGATTTATTTGAAGAATGTAAGCCCCTGGAAGACAGGGACGGTGTCTGTCCAAGCATTGCCAAGGTGATCATCGATATGAAATTACTAGATGGCGATGAAGACTGGACTTAGAAAGAGCCCGACGACGAGGCTGTTGTGTAGCAGGGAAATGAACCAGCAGAATTGTTTTTTCATTGGGTGGGTAAGGCATTCGCGTTCCTAAGGGAATAGATGAGGCCACATCTTTCCGTTTTGTTTTTTGAGCAGTCAAAACAAAAAACAGGCCCAGTACATTTCTGTTTCTGATTTTGTTTATTCATACTTCCATTCTCTTAATGAAAATTCACTCATTTGGGAGAAATGTGGTGGGGCAGATGATCGTTGATTCAAAATGCATCTTTTAAAATGATTTCATCTTAAGCTTAACTGTAACCATTTTCAGTGGTTACAACCGTTTGCTGGCGTTAAAACAAGCGGAAGAAAGAATGAAGCAGGATGGGGAGGAGCAGGTGGAGGGATAATGGGAGAGGAGAGAGTTACGTTGTAAATACTGTATCTAGATTTTCACTGATACAACCCTAGCTGGATAGGCTTCAAAAATTTAGTAATTCAGTTCTGGAAATACTACATTGCAAGGTACAAATAATTTTGTATTTTTCTACCGTTATTTTTTTTAAGATTTTATTTATTTGACAGAGAGAGACACAGCAAGAGAGGGAACACAAGCAGGGGGAGTGGGAGAGGGAGAAGCAGGCTCCCAAGGAGCAGGGAGCCCGATGCGGGGCTCGATCCTAGGACCCTGGGACCATGACCTGAGCTGAAGGCAGATGCTTAACCGACTGAGCTACCCGGTGCCCCTTTCTACCATTATTTTTTAAAAAGTGAAACCCAAGGCTGTTTTTCGTCCTTCGTAACTTTGTAGATATCGTAGGATTTGGGTGTTTTAAAACTCAAGAATCTAAGTGCACTTGACATAGAGGAAGACACTGAAACTTGGAAAGTTAACTGAATTGTCTGTACAAGTGTCACTGCTAATGAAAGGCAGAGCCAAATAAAACCAAGATATGTTCCTGCAGTGGGCTCTTTTGGTGTGTCCCTTATTCCCCCTACCCTGTGAAAATTTATGGAAAGCTTCTCCACATGCTCCTTGAGTTGTTTTTAACAATCAAGTTCATTGATACCCTTGTTGTATTAATCTAGTCCTTTTCCTTGTGATGCAAAAATAATTCTACTGAAGTGGAGCTTTAGTTTTATAAATTACCTTACAATATAAGGAAAGATGCTCTAACACGGGCTTTTCACAAAAAAAAAAAAAAAAACTTGGAAGTTTTTCCCTACTACTTCTTAGTAACCATATTTTAATATTATTTCCTGATACTCAGTAGTATTTTATGGTATGATGAACTCTATAAGCTCTGTTAAAAATAAAATTGCCATGTAACAAGAATGTGGAGAAGATTGTCTCCATTTTATATTTAATTCTGTAATTATGGCCTGAATGTAGTGTAGTGAAATTATCCCTTTCCTTTATTCAGTATGAAGTTCATTTTTTTCAATTAATGAATTATATTATTTTCAACTTAACTCACCTTGAGAAAAATATCGAACTTTTTATCAAAATTAAATGTATGTTTTTTCATTGAGTTGCTTTTGACAAAGTGCTGTTTTTTCTTTATAATCTCACCCTTTAATTCTACAATGCATTTTAGTAGACTTTTTTAAAAGAATTTATTAGCATGCCCTTTTAAATTTTAGCTTACTTAGAGATAATCTAGTTAAATTCAACATGTGGAATTATATTAAATCAAACTTTAAATGTATTTCATCGGTAAATTTCATTGTTCTCAATTTGGAAATAACCATCTTTATGTTTTCTGTCTTAGCATTAGAATAATGTAATTTAGGCTGTAAAATTATCATATATTATGCCCATTAATGCAGATATCAGTGTTTTTAAAAATTCTATGCTTTTAGTGATTTGTTTTATTTATTCCTAGTATCAGTTTTTTCTTTTTGATAAAAAGAACTAGTTTTATTGTTGCATCTGATAGTAATCAGATATCACTCATCTAGTACTAAATACTGCCTGTGTTTAAACTTAACATTTTTTATTCAACAAAATTATACTCCTATAAAATAATTTTTAGTATTTTAATTTGTAATGATTGATTTTGTTCTCTATCGTGAACATTGGGGTTTTAAGCAGTGTCCTAGTCTAATAAATATCTAACAGACAGCAGTGTACTAAATTGCCAACTAAAATATCTGTACAGATGCAAATTATTACAGAAGTATAACAAAAGAGCAATTAGATACCATCTGAAAAATCCTTGATGGTTATATAATAATGGAGGAGAACATTGAGTGTTGCTATATTTCAGTAAGAAATGAATTTCTTCTTATGGGGAGAAATCTCAGACCATCTTTATTTCATAAACTTTTGTTAATAACCAAGATTTCCAATAATCAACTACACTTGGTGAAATGGGATTTAATTTATTTACTTAAATATTTTTTGAGGGAAGTGCTCAGCAATGAGTTAGCCAGTGTGGGCAATACAAAAGAATAAGAAGACATCTGTCTGGTAGTAGAGTCTAGTTTAATTGAATGACTATGCAACAGTATATCTATATTATACCTTTTTTTTGGCCAGAATGAATGACATCGTCAATATATACTGAAGGTAAAGCCCTCTTTTATGTCAAACAAAGGTAGAAAGGAAACGAACAAAAGCAAGGTTAAAATTACAAAATTTACAAAATTTACTTACAAAAATTACTTACATACAAATAGGGATTATACAAAACATGGAAGTGGAAAAGAATCTCAAGTATGCATTGCTTAGGTTTGAGAAACAATATGAGACATAGCAGAGAATAAATCATTATTTGAGTATATCAATAAGTAGTAGGTAATATAGAACATATTACCCTTTGGGACATGATATTTATTGAATAAATAATATCTACCATGTATTGAAACCTACTATGTATCAGGCAGCTTGTGTGTGTCTGTGTGTGTGTAATTCATGCAACAGTCTTGTATATAAGATATAAGTTTACACATTTAAATTTGAGAATATTTGAAGCCTAGAGTTAGTGAATAATTTTGCCTCTGTGTCATGGCTCTAAGTGGTAGAGCCTGTAACTGAACCTTTGTCTTTTTGACAGAGGCCCAAATTCTTTCCATTCATCCTTTTTGGTAAATTGAGAAAGCAAACTGTACTCTTTTCTGATTCACAAAATTTTAGAATTAGAGGAGACTTTAGAGTCATCTGGTATAGTGTGCCTTCTACTACTCATGTCCTTGAGATCTTACTGAGTCCAACTTCTCCAAGAACAACACTTTCATGAACAGAGGCATAGGATGTCTCATTTAGCTTTTGGAAAGTATAATAGGAAGATTTTAATTAAATGGGGCTGGTATTTGCTTTACTATATAACTTCTCCCCATTGGTTGTAGTTCTGTTGTAAGAGTAAGATACAGTAAGGTATTTCTTTGCTCGGTTTTCTCTTTTCTAAATTAAATATTATAACCCTTACAACTTCATATGATATTGATGTTGTTCCCTTTACCTTTCTCATCTCTTGTCAACTAGATTCAGTTTTGTCAGTGCTGTTCTTTTTGTTCTGATCTAGTTTTTATATTTAATTCTGTAATTATGGCCCGAATGTAGTGTAGTGAAATTACTGTTTCCTTAATTCAAGCTATACATTTGTGTTTACAGTCTAAAATTTTGTTAACTCTTTAATAATAGTAATATCTTGGAAATGTGAGAACAATGTTATATGGCTTTTCAAGTTATTGTCATGCAATTTAAGGGATTTGAGTTTCTGTATTTCTACTTTTCTAATGTTAAAATGACCTCTCTTTATGAAATGATAGTTTTAGTCT